CATTCCTGGAAACATCCAAAAGTCTTCAGAGCTAAGCAATATCATCCATCAGGTTTCCACTGTTCAGTGTGTCCTGCCCATGGAGACAAAAAACATCCAGTGTTGCCAATGGGAGGAGCTGTTTGAGAGGGTTACCTCACTCCCAAACACTGTGACCTTGCCCTGGTGCACAGGGGGAGGAAGAAGGCTCCTTCCTCCCTTTTTGTGTGGTGCTCATCTAGCTGAGTAATTTTTGGTGCCTGTCATCAAAATTTCATAGTAGCTCTCAGGAAAAATCAAATTCTATTCTCAGTGCAATCTGTGGGCCTTTTTGTTTGAAGTTGTCTTCCTGTGTCCACAGAAAGATCATGGCAAATGAGGGTAAGAGCCAAATATGTTTCCCACCTCTGACCTGATGCACTGATTGTGTCCTGAATTGATGCATAGGTGAACTGAGCTCATCCTCCTTGGCACTACACCAAAACTCATCAGTTCGTTTTGCACAGTCCTAGACTGTGTTTGATGCAGTGATGGGGAAGCAAGAGGCCATGAATTCCATTTGAGTTCAAACCCTTTATTAGTAGAGGGAACTCAGCAGTTGCTCATTAACATTCTCAGACCAAAGTTTCTTCTGGTGTCAGCTGGCACAGATCTATTAACTTTAAGCTGTTCTACATGAGACTATATCCTGGTGTTTTGTTTTACTGGAGCCTGCAGCTCCAGCCTGTGTTCTCAGTGCCTTTGTGGCACTTAGCTGCAAACAGCTTAGTGTAAGAGTTAACTTGCGGTTTTATGGAAGCCTTATGGAGACAGGATAGCTCAGCTGTTTTGTTTGTTTGAAACCTCTCAGCCTCTGATTGTATCAGGGAGGGAGGTATTTTAAAAGATAACATTAAGCCAACAGTTCCTAAAACCTTAAATTATCCCAGATGAGGCGTAGACCAGCACAGCTAGGATTTGCTGAGGTTAAGGGCATGAGCTAATAGATTTTATTACGTTTATTGGCAGAGAAAAGTGGCAGGTGAAGAGAGTGTCTGCTCATAATGTTCATAGCTATGGGATAAGGGGGGGGAGGAGAAAAAGGAACATCTGTAGAAACAATGAAGAATATTTGGCTGAGCAGGACTGTAGTCAGCTTCATGTTCAACAGCAGGGTTTTTCTGCCAGCAGCAGTACCTAGGAGAACTGGTTTCAGACTACAGAGAGTTAAAAGTAATTATCCAGTGACTTTTGACTGCTTTGTGGTGCTAAAATATCCTTGTCTGCCCAGACTGTGCAAGATCAACCAAGATAGCTCTGGGCATAGAGGCAAACTCTGTCCCAGGTAATTTAAAATCGAGTAGCGGACTGAAAGGTAGGTGAGGAAACAGTATGTGCCATGGCCTAGGTGGGACTAGATCTTCTGTGTTCTAGTGAATGCTCTGGACGCTTGGCCAACTGATCCTTTGCACAAACAAACACTAAGTACTAGAAGCAAGGGACATGAAGGCAAAGACAGCGAGGGCAGGTCTTTGCTTGGCCAGATATCAGCAAGGTGAGTTACAGAGGGAACTGCGTCCTGAAGCTGCCCATCAAATGCCTTCTGTGAATTCTCTTCTCTACTTTCAAAGCCTGCCAGAGCACTTTCTTTACCCTGCCTCTCTCTTCTCCCCAGCAGCACGGTAA